CCATACCACCAAACTGGTTCCCTTATTTTATTTTATTTTATATTCTACCTTTATTATTTTTACCAATACCTTAAGGTGGCAAATATATCCAGCATTATCTTCCACCTCCTATTTTCCCCAAAACAACTGGCTTTTATGGTTAAGCCAAAACCTGAACTCATGGTCTCTAACTTTCTAGCCTGGCGCTTTAAACAAACTGGCTTTAGCTTACAAATGACTTAAATTGAGGAAACGGATTATTTGCTCATGGTGTTTTTTTCTTCTTCTTCCTGCATGCCGAATAAACCTTACTTTAACATGCACTCAATTACAGATAATCCTTGACCTTACGACCACGATTAAGCCCAAAATTTCTGTGGATAATGAGACAATTGTTAAGTGAATTTTGCCTCATTTTACCTTTTTGGCCACACTTGTTAAGTGAATCACTGCAGTGAAGTTAGTAACACCGTTGTTAAGTGAATCTGGTTTGCCCAATGACCCCAGGACATTGCAACTGTCATAAATATGAATCTGTTGCCAAGCTTTTGAATTTTGTTGACATGACTCTGGGGATGCTGCAACAGTTACGTGAAAAAGGGTCATGTCATTTTTTTCCAGTGCTGTTGTAACTTTGAATGGTCATTAAATGAACTGTTGTAAGTCGAGGATTACTTATATTCTAACAGCTATATGATGGGAAGAAAACTATCCCATGAAGTTATTTCCATGGTCCCCCTGGCCTGATTCCTGCTCTAGCCGTGCAAATTAACTAGGGCAGTTAGCTTCTGCAAAAATAAGGAAGTTTTTTAAAAAGTATTAGGCCTTTATACTGCATCTGAGAGAATACAGGTAACCCTTGAATTACAACCATAATTGAGTTGCAAAATTAGTATTATGGTTGTTAAGTCAACCGCGTTTCCCCATTGACTTTGCTTGTCAGAGGGTCCCATAAAGGGATCCCCTGATTCTGGGACCTCTGCAACCGTCATAAATGTGAGTCAGTTGCCCAAGCCTCTGAATGTAATGCATGTGACCGCGGGGATGCTGCCACAGTCATAAGTGCGAAAAGTGGTCATAAGTCACTTTTTTCAGTGCCGTTGCAACTTTGAACTTTGCAGATCATCACTTAGCAACCTGTGAGTAAAGCTGTAGAGCAGGGATGCTTTCCTACGCCACACCTTGCATTGCAGTTGCCACCTTACTTTAACACGCACCTGATTACAGGTAGTCCTTGATGTAGGACCACAATTAAGCCCAAAATTAAGCCTAGCTATCAATGACAACTGTCAATGACTACTTCAATGACCTGTCAATGACTACTTCAGCTTCAACCTCAATAATACAGGGGCAAACAATAGATACAAACTCAAGGTAAACCGCTCCAAACTCGATTGCAGAAAATACGGCTTCAGCAACAGTGTGGTCAATGCCTGGAATGCTTTATCTGACTCTGTTGTTACATCCCCAAACCCCCAAAACTTTAACTTTAAACTGTCTAATGTAGAGCTCAGCCCATTCCTAAGAGGTCCGTAAAGGGCATGTGCATAAGGGCACCAGGGTGCCTACCACCCCTGTCCTACTGTCCCCATTTATTCGTACCCATTTCCCTTGTTCATGTCCATGTTTATACTGCTACCTGTTATCTCGTAGGTTGACAAACTAAATAAATAAAATAAATATATAGACTGTAGTGTTTCTGTTGCTAAGTGAGACAGTTGTTAAGTGTTAAGGTGGCTGGGCGTATGTCCCTTCAGTCCGGCACAAATTACCCACGCGCACACATACACATACACACACACACCCTTCCCCGGGCGGCCGTTGTAAATGGCTTTCATTAAAAGTGCGCTTTGCCGACGTGAACGCCGGAGGGAAAGCGGGGCTCGTTGAAAAGCGGCTGCCGGAAAAAACTGACAAATGCCCCGTCCCACGCAAGCGTATCTGGGGGGGCTCTAGTAGACCCATCAATCCAAGGCGGCTGCAGGAGACGATGGGTATGTGTGTGTGTGTGTGTGTGTGTGTGTGTATCAGCGTCCCAATCGCCGGCCTCGATTTCCCCGGCGCAAACCACACAGCGTGGTAAACAAGCAATTAGCCGAGGCGTCCCACCAGGGCCGAAAAGAGCCATTCTGCTGGATTTATCCTCCCAATAAACNCCTATGAAGCGGTATATAAGTCTACTGCTATTGCTATATCTCTGCTTTTTAGTATGCTGTCTAGATTTGCCACAGCTTTCCGCCCCAAGAGAACTTTTAGTGGGAGGTTTGTGTGGTTGACCAATTCCTGACTTTCTTCATTCTGTTCAGAACACCGACATCAAACTCATTTCTGGCCCTGGAACCGAGCTTCCTCAAAATGCTTATTTATCATTTCTCTTGAGGTACAAATGCTCCCAAGATTTTCCAGGAATTTCCTCAGTTCTTCCTTTCAGCTTCTGTTTTCCTCTTTGTGGTGTTTCATTCCCGAATGCCTGCCTTTTTCAATAACTGATTTCTCTAAATGCTTTCCCCTGCAGTATCTATGCAATGCATTTCTTTCTCCAACACCCTCCATGATTTCCTTGTTTAAAATATAGTGGTGGGAGGATGTGGCTGGGCATGATTATTACAACCCCAATCAATTCAATGTGTCTTTTCTTCTAGAAATCAGCAGTAAAAATGGGGGTGAGGTTTGAGTCATAAGTGGAACATGGTGTGTAGATGCCCCATAAAATGATGGGAACCAAGCCACGTTAGTTGGAAAGCATCTATGGACATTCTAAATCATCCAGGTCATAATGGTCCCAAAGATGCTTTTTCAAAAGGCAACTGGATAGTTTTTTCCTTGGGGAAGAAGACGTTTTGCTTCTCATCCAAGAAGCTTCATCGATTCTGGCAGGGGCTATGTGGCAGGGATTAACTCTGACAGGATGGGGAGGGGGTATTGACTGCAAAGAAATATGATCCAACCTTCCGCCCCCCCCCCCCAATCCTATCAGACTTAATCCCTTCATAGCAGTGGTGGGAGTCAAATTTTTTTACTACATGTTCTGTGGGCGTGGCTTGCTGGGCGTGGCATGGCTTGCTGGGTGTGGCTTGGGCATGGCAGGGGAAGGATACTGCAAAATCCCCATTTCCTCCCGATCAGCTGGGACTCGGGAGGCAGAGAATAGATGGAGCAGGGCCAGTCAGAAGGGGTATTTACTCAAAATGTTCGCTACCGGTTCTCCAGAACTGGTCAGAACCTGCTGAATACCACCTCTGCTTCATAGCCTCCACCATCCTGCCAGAACTGATGAAGCTTCTTGGATGAGCAGTGAAATGTCTTTTTCTTCTTCCTCAAGAATAAGCTGCCCAGTTGCCTTTTTTTAAAAAAAATGTCTTTTAAGTGTACACCTGCATGGAATCCTTTCCTTTTCTTCTTCAAGTTGGATGACAGGATCGAAGAACCTATGGACACCTAGATGATTATTATTGGCCATAATGACTGGAAGTTGTAGTTCATCAAAACCAGGTAGGTTCCAGAGTCCCCACCCAGTGTTGTTATAAGAGCATCACTATGGAACCAGCTTCGCCCCATCACATCAGCCCGTCCCATTCAGTCAGTCAGGGAATGCATGCTACAGAGTCCATCAAATAATTTTGACTGGCAGGGTCAAGGAAGGGGGGCTTTTTTGCTGCTGCCCCAACTTTGTGGAACATCTTGCTCTAAGAGGTGAGGAAAGGCAATCTCAGCAAGCAATCAATTTGAACCTCTATAAGAAACATGTTTTTGCCCCTCCCTCTCTCTCTCCTGTCTGTCTCTCTTTCTGTGTTGCCCACCTGCTGCTTTACCTTCTTCAGTTTATTCACCATCAGCAGGACATGGCGCCTGCAGGCCATTTTTCACTACAACGTAAGTTTATTGTCTTCTCCTCCACCCAGAGATGTATCACTGATAAACAAAAAGCTGTAGCTTGGGCAGCTTATTCCTTGCACTGATGGATACCAACCTGTCCATGGTGCCAATGCAGGAAAATACTTAATTGTTATTGGAAGTATTAATCAGCTGCTTATTAAGCCTGCAGGAAACACAGCCGAGGAATTATTATGTAATTGGATCCATCGCTTTCTCCTGTTGCCTAAGGGTTATACAGAAAAATCCCACACAAACACATACAAAAACTTTTGCATCGGAAGCATACTTTTCTTATATGGAAAGGTTTGGCAGGAAGAAATGGGTGTGAAGTGCTTTGGCATGAACGAAAGCCATATATTGTCAATGAAATTTCTTCTCTTTCAGGTAAAATCCAGGAGCAAATCTAATTCAGTCAATATGCTTCTCACATTCAGACCCAAGAAATGAAAGATTGTATATATGTATATATCATTTTTATCTATCATTTATCATCACCCTCATTATCCCTCTCTCTCTCTCATCACCATCATCTCTGTCTATGCATCTATCATCATATCTACCTATCTACCTACCTACCCACCTATCAATCTTATATCTATCAATCTATCTATCTATCTATCTATCTATCTATCTATCTATCTATCTATCTANTGCCGGAAAAAACTGACAAATGCCCCGTCCCACGCAAGCGTATCTGGGGGGGCTCTAGTAGACCCATCAATCCAAGGCGGCTGCAGGAGACGATGGGTATGTGTGTGTGTGTGTGTGTGTGTGTGTGTATCAGCGTCCCAATCGCCGGCCTCGATTTCCCCGGCGCAAACCACACAGCGTGGTAAACAAGCAATTAGCCGAGGCGTCCCACCAGGGCCGAAAAGAGCCATTCTGCTGGATTTATCCTCCCAATAAACGCGCAAGCGGCCCCCAGACGGCAACCGCCGCTCGCCTCTTGTCAGGGACCGTCGCGGTCCCACTCCGCTCGTCACCGGGAAGCTGCCGCAGGGGCCCCGCACCACATGGGTTGCTGCCACCCCCTGTCATCAATCCCGCACCGCGTCTGGGATGGCAGGAGATATAAAGGCGCTGCCAGGAGAAGGGGAAGCAGGTCGGGTGGGGAGCAGAGAGGCGAGAGGAGCCGGGCCTCCACCATGGTCGCTTCCCGCCTTTTGCTAGCGCTGGCCTTGCTTCTCTCGGGCAGCCTGAGGTCGGTCCGGAGTCTCGAGGAGGCGCTCGGCTCCCAAGAACTCTTGGCCGAAGAACCCAATGGCTACCCGGAGAGGTTATTAGACTGGATGGTAAGTTGCCCCCCCGAGGAAGCAGGCGGCTGTTTCGGCCTTCCGTCTGCTTCCCGCCTTTCCTCGTGGGAAAGTTTTAGCCGCAGGCGGACGTGGCTTGGGAGTCCGCGGCAAAACTGCCTTTCCTTCTCCAAACTTTGCACCGGGTGTCTATGGAGATTCTCAGTCATCCAGCTCATGGTTGTCCCAAAGGTGCTTTTTCAAGAGGCAACTGGACTTTCTGGATTTTTTTAAAGACGTTTTGCTTCTCATGCGAGAAGCTTCTTTAGAGCTCCATCCCTGACCTGGATGACTGAATCTCCATAGACATTTTGGCTTAGACAGAGTGCACAGTTGCCCTCCTGCTCCCGCCACATTTCATCTTTATCACAACCTTGCAAGGTGGCTGAAGGAGAGAGAAAGTAGCCTGAACTGGACCAGAGGAAAGCTTTGCCATAGATGTGCCAACTCCCATTACTCATCACTATAGCCAGGCTGCCCCAACCTATGTTACACCCATCCAAATGGGACAGTCACTTGCATCTTTCCTACCAACCGAGACAAGGCTGGGGATCCTGGCATCAGCTTGCCAGTTTGGAGGTGAGAAGGTTACTTGAAGCTCGACCAGGAGAGGAAAAACAAGCCCAACTGTGACAGGTTTATAGCCTTTGCTCATTTCTATTTCCCTTTGGGAACTCCTCAAGAAGGACGAAGAAGCATCCATGTGATCCATCGAGCTCTGTGGCTAAGCCAGATTTCTTCTAGTTTCTTCTATTATTCTTCCTCTTACCTCCTATCAGCTCCGGGACTCAGTAGGTGGTCTTAAGAAAGTAGTAATTAATTTTGGTGCTAATAAAGATCTGGGATAATTCTATAGAGCTCTGTCAAAGGAGTACAGTAAACGTCTGCAAAGTGCGTGGAATTATTTGTGGATTAGGACATTTATTTTGTGACTACCGTGCTTGCTGTATATACAACTTAGAATAGTGCAATTTAAGACTTTCAGATTTTTTTTCTAAGCATGATTCCAGCAACAAAAGGCGTAAGGAGGTTGGAGAGCCTATATGTTGCTGTTCGTCAAACAAGTATCCATGTTTGCCTATGTATCGTGGACATGTGTTCTAATGAGTGACCACTCGATAAATAGTATACTGTATATATACCTTGTTTCTGGTGTACCATACTATTTGTGGAACTAGCTTCCTATGTAATTTTTTTCCACAAGCTATGCTGTTGATAAATATGATCTTCAGGATGTCTTTTTATAGGAATTCTGTTCTTTTTGTTATATGGCTACTGTTGGGAAAGGAACATGGGGGGAAAATTCCCTTTAGCAATCTTAAAACTGTCTTGCTGATCAATAGGCACCTTCGGCTGACTAGAATGAAGAGCAAGATTCTTCGCTTCCTGGTGTCTCTAAGGACACGTTTGCAGCAAGAGAATTTCCAGCTTGATATAATCTGTCATATTCTGATATGGAGGCATCAGTTTATCCAAAAAGTGTCCTTGCAAATTCAGGATTGATAGGCAGTCTATAAAGACTTACAGCATATTGGGGGCTGAATAGAAGAGCTGCAGATTAGCTGTGCATTTTAAGAAACACGCAAACTGAGAAATAAAAAAACAATATAGCCAGGATCCAACTCAGAGTAATCTTTCTCGTTATAGGTACTGGACAAAAATTAAACCAGAATGTACTTTTAAAGATTTACATCTGAAGCAGCCTTGCCCAATCTGATGCCCTCAAAACCTATCATTGCTAACCTGACTGGGGAGAATGGGAGCTGTAAACATATACAGCTGGAAGATGCCAAGTTGTAGAAGGCTGATCAAAATCTAAAGGCAAGGTATATTTGGCTGGGTTCGCATAACACACTTAATGCAGGTTGGGGGTTTGCACAGTACATACACTAACTCATTATCTAGGTTTCCCAACACATTAAACTTCCCATCTAAAAAGAATCTAGGATTAAAACTAACCAAGCTTAACATGTCGTATGAATGCAAGCTTTTGATTTTTAACTAACCCGGCTAGGCATATTGTGTGAATCCAGCCACTAGAGTAAAAGCAAAGGGAAGCGGCTGCCTTTAGGTTGTTATGGTGCAGGATGGATCTTCTCCAATACATATATCTTCAAGCTGAAGCTACACTCAGCATGCAACACCTACATACTGTTCCTGCTGAGCTGTTGTTGCCTTGGGTCTTCATCTGACCTGTTGTATGTCTTAAACTTGGGGCAAACTCTGTCCAGTTGCATACTCTGATGAACTCCAGGCTTTCTTCCTACAGCCACAAGAGGGTGAGGACCACACTGGTCAGAGCTTACCTGATGACCATCTGCTGGGCGTCCTTCTCCGGACATTGTTCCATGCTGTGCAGAGACCTGGTCGCAGTCCTTCCTTCCTATTCCAGCCACAGAGGTATGACTGATTACAGGTTTATTAAGTAGAACTATTTATTCGGGTGAAATAGGAGCAAATACATTGACTTCATGTTTCTGTGCAATTTCAAAGTTTCATTTCTGTCAGTTTTCTGGATTTGATTTGAAAAACATTTTTTCAGTGGTTGTGTTAGAACATCCAGCTATTCTTCTGCCAAGGCTACTTATGCTTTTCATTCAAATGGTGCGCTAATTGCAGAGATTTCACTAACCTCCCATGGCATATATTGTAAATATCAGGCGACAGCTTCACAATTTAGAGATAATTAAAGGAGAACAAGAGATAATGTGTAATTGCTATCCAATTAGAGCTTTCCAAACTCTCTGTTTGTGTGTGTGTGTTTGTTCTTATGTGTGTGCTAGATGAACTAAGGTCAAGTACTAGTTCCAACTGTAGGAGAAAAATTAACCAAGGGTGTTTTATTTTACTGAATTCCTGGCTTACACCTTTGTACAAACCAGGAATTGTGCTTGAGATAAACTGCTGATTGACTTTCTGTTGTGTTTATGTTACATCCTGGTTTGAAACTAACAGCAAAGCAGAAATTGGGCAAAATGAAACTTAATTTTGGTTCATAGCCTCCAGGCTATGCAGGGGAAAACATGGGCAAATCAGAACGGAGTTTTTTATGTTTCTCTCTGCTGTTGCTACATACAACTCCTGGCTTACTGGTGGCATCCCTATTCATGTATAACTCCAACAAAGGGTGCCTTTCATCTTTTCACCTTTCTGTCCTTTAAAAAGAACTAATTACTTCCTGAACCGCAATCCAATTCACTTCAGTCAAGTCCTGGAGGCAAATGGTACCCATAATTCATTGCTTCTGAGCTTTTTGGAGTCATCTGACCAGCTACTGCTGGAGACAGGATGATGTATCAGAGGGAATATAACTCTGATTTCCCCAAAGAGGGCCCAGTTTGTCATTTCAGGCACTGTATTCTCTGCGTTGCTCTCTGTTTCTGATCCTTTCTATAGGTTTGGCCGTGAAGTCAGATCCAGCAATTTGAGAAATGCTGGCCGGATCAAACCACGGGCTTGGGATTCTCTGGCCCCTCAGTTTCTGAGTATGGCTACCCCACAACGCTTTGGCAAGAAAAAATGAAGCGGGAAATAGCAATCCGGAAAAAATAAACACCAAAAGTAATTGCTTCCTGAATCCTGGCAAACTGGATGAGAGCCACACCTTAATTTTCTGCTTCATTTCTGTGTCTTGTCACTCAGCCTTAGCTGGGTGGCCCATCCCTGTTAAGGACCTGCATTTTATTTGTTGTCAACAATAATAAAACAACATTGTTACATCTTGGAGGATACTGCAGTCCTTTTGTCATGTCGATGTCTCTGCAATTGATTTCTTCAGCTACAACCCTCATTAGTCTTGGTCTTCAGGATCATTGAACAGGGATGAGGGGAGATGTACTTCAAAATATCTGCAATGCTTTCTGTTAGGGAAGGGTATTCAGTTCTAAAGGGGAAAATGAATGGCACATTTGGAAAAAGAATTACGGTGAAAATTACCTGTGGCTTCATAGGCGAATACATCTGTGGTAAGTGAAGTCTGCTTTTATGCAGAGACTTCCTCTTCCGCCTCTGTAAAATGCTAAAAAAAAGTCTGTTGGTCACAGTAGTGGTGGATTTTGGCAACGCCTGTCTGGGAGCGAGTCTTTAAAACATTACAAAATCCAGATTCTCCCCAAAATGAGTTTTGCACAATGCATAGAATTCATTACACTGAAAGATTAATATCCTATCCTATACCACCTACGGCCAAAGTAGCTGAATAATACAGCTCCTAGAATAAGGGATATGTAGCCCAACATCACCTGTAAGCATCAGACTGACTCCAGCTGAGCTAGAAAAACACGGTTACTGTTTACGGGACCAGTTACCTATTCAAATTCTTTCCTTGGGTTGGGACTGCTTGCAGGTACACATACATGCACAATATAGGAGGAAATCATTTCTACAAAAACTAGTATTGGTTTGAGGAGACAGAAGACAATCTAAAAAATTTAAGTAAAGGGGTGAAATTGTTTGAAACTTGTTTTAAAAAAGAAAAATGCTTTCTGAACATGAGAGTGAGGCTTGAGGGACAATTCAAAATTCCTTTCCACACCTGAATGGTGCAAATTGGCTTCCCAGAAGTTGCTGGACTTCAATCGCCTGGAGAAAGTCTGTTGGTCACTTGTGGGATTTACAACCTCAACCCCCCCCCACTTTCTGATAGAAACTAAACATGTAGGCAATGGGATGCTAATTCACCCTCAAGTGTGCAGGACTGCATCTAAATTAGCAGAGATCACAAATAGCTCAAACAGTCTGAAGGTTTCTGGCTTATGGCATGTAGTGAGGGAGGTACAGCTTTTTTGTATGTGCATGCCTGATTTCTTTTAAGGATTGGGGATAAAATAGGACAACTTTTTATTTTAAAAAAAATCCCATTTTTTTATTGCAACTCCCAAACATGATAGAAATCAGTCGATGCTTATGTCCTGAAGAACAAGGGTGACCCCGAGTGAGCAGAGAGACAGGATAGCCTCCAGATGGGTTGTCCTTGCGTCTCAGGAAACAAGGCTCCGTAAACCCCATCCCTGCTGCAACTTCGGCCAACTTTTTCAAAGTCTTCCAGTTCAGCCAACCTCTTCCAACCTTCCTCCTTTCTTGCAGCCCCATCAAATTGCCTTCCTGTCACGTCGATTCATGAGAGGAAAACAAAATGGCCTCCTCAATGGATCTGCAGCATTGCCCGATGCACGCCTCTCACTTGCCTCCAGCCATGATTTTGAGGTACTGAAGGGCATTGCGGGCAGCATCAGCGCGGGCAGCAGTGCGGGAATTGGCTGAGCCATGGCATACTGTGGCTGGCTGTGTAGATAGCTCCACCAAGCACTGGTAGAGGCCACTTATGCTCGTCTCATCTGTGAGGGGGGGAAAAACATTCTGTTACTCAAACCAGAAAAACAGCAACCTGCTGTATCTGATCTCATACGGGTAGTCCTTGATTTACATTCATTCATTTAGTGACTATTCGAAGTTACAACAGCACTGGAAAAAGTAACATGATCACTTTTCACACGACCATACCGATAGTCACATAATCAAAATTCGGATGGTTGGCAATTTGCTCATATTTATGACAGCTGCAATGTCTTGGGATGATGTTATCGCCCTTTGTGACTCTCTGACAAGCAAAGTCAATGGGGAAACCAGATTCACTTAACAACTGTGTCACTAATTTAACAACTGCAGTGATTCACTCAACAACTGGCAAGAAAGGTAAAATCGGGCAAAACTCATTTAACTGATCGTTTAGCAACAGAAATTTGGGGCTCAATTGTAGTCAAAGGTCAAGGACTACCTGTATATTGATTATTCTTAATTGGCATGAAAATATTCTTCAAATAGAAGCAGAGCAACAGATAAACAACATCTACAAACCTGGCAATTAAAACAAGGTTTTACAGAAAAATTTCTTAGCACACAGTTATGATAGTAAAAGAACTTATAGATTCATCTAGTATAAATTTAACAATAGTGTTAAAATTTTGCTACAGTCGTGTACTTACCAAGCGGCCTAAGGAAGGGATGGGGAACAAGTTGACTTCTAGATACGGATGAATTGCAAATTCCAGGTGGCTTAACTACTATGGACATGCTGCAAGATACTCAGACTTGTAATTCTCATCAAGAAATCTGGGGAAGGCAAACCTATTCTCAAATGAAACACCAGGATGTGTGTAATACGGCAAATGTCTAATCTGTCTAATGTCTAATCACTAAACTAATTCTTCTTTTCTATTTCTATTACTCATTCTAATCTTAAATGTTGGGGAAAACCCTACCTTAACAGGCTGAATAGGTTTGTCAACTATGTTTCTGTAGCACTGAAATACATACTTCCATTCTTGTTTTGAAACTACTTTTAGAAATGATGCACTAGTTTAGTACAATGTAATATAATTTTGCTGATTGAGTTAGAATTTAAATTAGATATTTTAAATTTTCATTCTGCTCAAGAGAAAATACATGATCCTTGTAGAACTAAAGTCTGCACTATATAATGACCACTGCCCTTTAAAAAGCAAGCAGGAGCAGCCTGCTTAAGTTCATTGTACCAGAGTATAATGCTGTCATTCCTAAAAGACAGCAGGACATACTTGTCAAAATAGACGAACAAAAATCTGCCTGACTTGGTGATTACTTCAATTTACATCTAAGAAATATATACCTAAATTAAAGCAGACCAACATTGCAGTACCAAATTCCTGACCTTGTCTGGTTTGTGTTCCATGTCAATATTTCTCTTTCATGAAGCCAAACATTGATGTGACCCATGTAGATCCAAGTTCTCTCTGACTTTAAAGGATAATTCTAAGCTTGCCTGGCTACATTTGCTTTCAGCCATCCAGTTGCTCACTGTGCAATTGGGAATCACAAAGTGGCATTTGTAAATGGACAAATACATAAGGGCATCCTCACTGAGTGTCTACAGTTGAAACCAGCAACTCAGTCATTAAGCAAAGCAGATAGTAAATGAAACCACTCCTCTGCTTATGATCTTACTTCAGCTTTCCTTTATTTTACAGACCTGCAAAGGTCCTAAATCCAAGGATTGGTTGTAAAGGTACTTTGTAAAACTGGTCACTAAATGAAGCAGTCACTAAATGAGGACTGCCTGAGGTGCATAGGAGGGAGGAGAAAATTCACACAGCCTTTATTAACTCTAATCTCTGCCTTGTTCCTTACCAATATCAAGGTAACTGATATCAAAACTCTGCTCTTCGGAGAGTTCCTTCAAGAGGTTGCAGAACCCGGTGTTGAAGATTCGGTGGTTCTTCAGATGAAGAATCTTCTCTCCCACTGAGTTGCGCAAGGAATCCCAGGTACAACCGGATCCCCGACTTTTCATCCCATCCAGTTTGGTTCCTGCAATCTAAGTAGGAAAAAAAATGTCACGGAGGTTCTGTTTCTTTCACAGATTTCAGCATACAGTAGTTAATACACTATATTGCCAAAAGTATTCGCTCATCTATCCAATAACTAGAATCAGGTGTTCCAATCACTTCCATGGCNACATTGTTCCATGCTGTGCAGAGACCTGGTCGCAGTCCTTCCTTCCTATTCCAGCCACAGAGGTATGACTGATTACAGGTTTATTAAGTAGAACTATTTATTCGGGTGAAATAGGAGCAAATACATTGACTTCATGTTTCTGTGCAATTTCAAAGTTTCATTTCTGTCAGTTTTCTGGATTTGATTTGAAAAACATTTTTTCAGTGGTTGTGTTAGAACATCCAGCTATTCTTCTGCCAAGGCTACTTATGCTTTTCATTCAAATGGTGCGCTAATTGCAGAGATTTCACTAACCTCCCATGGCATATATTGTAAATATCAGGCGACAGCTTCACAATTTAGAGATAATTAAAGGAGAACAAGAGATAATGTGTAATTGCTATCCAATTAGAGCTTTCCAAACTCTCTGTTTGTGTGTGTGTGTTTGTTCTTATGTGTGTGCTAGATGAACTAAGGTCAAGTACTAGTTCCAACTGTAGGAGAAAAATTAACCAAGGGTGTTTTATTTTACTGAATTCCTGGCTTACACCTTTGTACAAACCAGGAATTGTGCTTGAGATAAACTGCTGATTGACTTTCTGTTGTGTTTATGTTACATCCTGGTTTGAAACTAACAGCAAAGCAGAAATTGGGCAAAATGAAACTTAATTTTGGTTCATAGCCTCCAGGCTATGCAGGGGAAAACATGGGCAAATCAGAACGGAGTTTTTTATGTTTCTCTCTGCTGTTGCTACATACAACTCCTGGCTTACTGGTGGCATCCCTATTCATGTATAACTCCAACAAAGGGTGCCTTTCATCTTTTCACCTTTCTGTCCTTTAAAAAGAACTAATTACTTCCTGAACCGCAATCCAATTCACTTCAGTCAAGTCCTGGAGGCAAATGGTACCCATAATTCATTGCTTCTGAGCTTTTTGGAGTCATCTGACCAGCTACTGCTGGAGACAGGATGATGTATCAGAGGGAATATAACTCTGATTTCCCCAAAGAGGGCCCAGTTTGTCATTTCAGGCACTGTATTCTCTGCGTTGCTCTCTGTTTCTGATCCTTTCTATAGGTTTGGCCGTGAAGTCAGATCCAGCAATTTGAGAAATGCTGGCCGGATCAAACCACGGGCTTGGGATTCTCTGGCCCCTCAGTTTCTGAGTATGGCTACCCCACAACGCTTTGGCAAGAAAAAATGAAGCGGGAAATAGCAATCCGGAAAAAATAAACACCAAAAGTAATTGCTTCCTGAATCCTGGCAAACTGGATGAGAGCCACACCTTAATTTTCTGCTTCATTTCTGTGTCTTGTCACTCAGCCTTAGCTGGGTGGCCCATCCCTGTTAAGGACCTGCATTTTATTTGTTGTCAACAATAATAAAACAACATTGTTACATCTTGGAGGATACTGCAGTCCTTTTGTCATGTCGATGTCTCTGCAATTGATTTCTTCAGCTACAACCCTCATTAGTCTTGGTCTTCAGGATCATTGAACAGGGATGAGGGGAGATGTACTTCAAAATATCTGCAATGCTTTCTGTTAGGGAAGGGTATTCAGTTCTAAAGGGGAAAATGAATGGCACATTTGGAAAAAGAATTACGGTGAAAATTACCTGTGGCTTCATAGGCGAATACATCTGTGGTAAGTGAAGTCTGCTTTTATGCAGAGACTTCCTCTTCCGCCTCTGTAAAATGCTAAAAAAAAGTCTGTTGGTCACAGTAGTGGTGGATTTTGGCAACGCCTGTCTGGGAGCGAGTCTTTAAAACATTACAAAATCCAGATTCTCCCCAAAATGAGTTTTGCACAATGCATAGAATTCATTACACTGAAAGATTAATATCCTATCCTATACCACCTACGGCCAAAGTAGCTGAATAATACAGCTCCTAGAATAAGGGATATGTAGCCCAACATCACCTGTAAGCATCAGACTGACTCCAGCTGAGCTAGAAAAACACGGTTACTGTTTACGGGACCAGTTACCTATTCAAATTCTTTCCTTGGGTTGGGACTGCTTGCAGGTACACATACATGCACAATATAGGAGGAAATCATTTCTACAAAAACTAGTATTGGTTTGAGGAGACAGAAGACAATCTAAAAAATTTAAGTAAAGGGGTGAAATTGTTTGAAACTTGTTTTAAAAAAGAAAAATGCTTTCTGAACATGAGAGTGAGGCTTGAGGGACAATTCAAAATTCCTTTCCACACCTGAATGGTGCAAATTGGCTTCCCAGAAGTTGCTGGACTTCAATCGCCTGGAGAAAGTCTGTTGGTCACTTGTGGGATTTACAACCTCAACCCCCCCCCACTTTCTGATAGAAACTAAACATGTAGGCAATGGGATGCTAATTCACCCTCAAGTGTGCAGGACTGCATCTAAATTAGCAGAGATCACAAATAGCTCAAACAGTCTGAAGGTTTCTGGCTTATGGCATGTAGTGAGGGAGGTACAGCTTTTTTGTATGTGCATGCCTGATTTCTTTTAAGGATTGGGGATAAAATAGGACAACTTTTTATTTTAAAAAAAATCCCATTTTTTTATTGCAACTCCCAAACATGATAGAAATCAGTCGATGCTTATGTCCTGAAGAACAAGGGTGACCCCGAGTGAGCAGAGAGACAGGATAGCCTCCAGATGGGTTGTCCTTGCGTCTCAGGAAACAAGGCTCCGTAAACCCCATCCCTGCTGCAACTTCGGCCAACTTTTTCAAAGTCTTCCAGTTCAGCCAACCTCTTCCAACCTTCCTCCTTTCTTGCAGCCCCATCAAATTGCCTTCCTGTCACGTCGATTCATGAGAGGAAAACAAAATGGCCTCCTCAATGGATCTGCAGCATTGCCCGATGCACGCCTCTCACTTGCCTCCAGCCATGATTTTGAGGTACTGAAGGGCATTGCGGGCAGCATCAGCGCGGGCAGCAGTGCGGGAATTGGCTGAGCCATGGCATACTGTGGCTGGCTGTGTAGATAGCTCCACCAAGCACTGGTAGAGGCCACTTATGCTCGTCTCATCTGTGAGGGGGGGAAAAACATTCTGTTACTCAAACCAGAAAAACAGCAACCTGCTGTATCTGATCTCATACGGGTAGTCCTTGATTTACATTCATTCATTTAGTGACTATTCGAAGTTACAACAGCACTGGAAAAAGTAACATGATCACTTTTCACACGACCATACCGATAGTCACATAATCAAAATTCGGATGGTTGGCAATTTGCTCATATTTATGACAGCTGCAATGTCTTGGGATGATGTTATCGCCCTTTGTGACTCTCTGACAAGCAAAGTCAATGGGGAAACCAGATTCACTTAACAACTGTGTCACTAATTTAACAACTGCAGTGATTCACTCAACAACTGGCAAGAAAGGTAAAATCGGGCAAAACTCATTTAACTGATCGTTTAGCAACAGAAATTTGGGGCTCAATTGTAGTCAAAGGTCAAGGACTACCTGTATATTGATTATTCTTAATTGGCATGAAAATATTCTTCAAATAGAAGCAGAGCAACAGATAAACAACATCTACAAACCTGGCAATTAAAACAAGGTTTTACAGAAAAATTTCTTAGCACACAGTTATGATAGTAAAAGAACTTATAGATTCATCTAGTATAAATTTAACAATAGTGTTAAAATTTTGCTACAGTCGTGTACTTACCAAGCGGCCTAAGGAAGGGATGGGGAACAAGTTGACTTCTAGATACGGATGAATTGCAAATTCCAGGTGGCTTAACTACTATGGACATGCTGCAAGATACTCAGACTTGTAATTCTCATCAAGAAATCTGGGGAAGGCAAACCTATTCTCAAATGAAACACCAGGATGTGTGTAATACGGCAAATGTCTAATCTGTCTAATGTCTAATCACTAAACTAATTCTTCTTTTCTATTTCTATTACTCATTCTAATCTTAAATGTTGGGGAAAACCCTACCTTAACAGGCTGAATAGGTTTGTCAACTATGTTTCTGTAGCACTGAAATACATACTTCCATTCTTGTTTTGAAACTACTTTTAGAAATGATGCACTAGTTTAGTACAATGTAATATAATTTTGCTGATTGAGTTAGAATTTAAATTAGATATTTTAAATTTTCATTCTGCTCAAGAGAAAATACATGATCCTTGTAGAACTAAAGTCTGCACTATATAATGACCACTGCCCTTTAAAAAGCAAGCAGGAGCAGCCTGCTTAAGTTCATTGTACCAGAGTATAATGCTGTCATTCCTAAAAGACAGCAGGACATACTTGTCAAAATAGACGAACAAAAATCTGCCTGACTTGGTGATTACTTCAATTTACATCTAAGAAATATATACCTAAATTAAAGCAGACCAACATTGCAGTACCAAATTCCTGACCTTGTCTGGTTTGTGTTCCATGTCAATATTTCTCTTTCATGAAGCCAAACATTGATGTGACCCATGTAGATCCAAGTTCTCTCTGACTTTAAAGGATAATTCTAAGCTTGCCTGGCTACATTTGCTTTCAGCCATCCAGTTGCTCACTGTGCAATTGGGAATCACAAAGTGGCATTTGTAAATGGACAAATACATAAGGGCATCCTCACTGAGTGTCTACAGTTGAAACCAGCAACTCAGTCATTAAGCAAAGCAGATAGTAAATGAAACCACTCCTCTGCTTATGATCTTACTTCAGCTTTCCTTTATTTTACAGACCTGCAAAGGTCCTAAATCCAAGGATTGGTTGTAAAGGTACTTTGTAAAACTGGTCACTAAATGAAGCAGTCACTAAATGAGGACTGCCTGAGGTGCATAGGAGGGAGGAGAAAATTCACACAGCCTTTATTAACTCTAATCTCTGCCTTGTTCCTTACCAATATCAAGGTAACTGATATCAAAACTCTGCTCTTCGGAGAGTTCCTTCAAGAGGTTGCA